TGGTGAAGTATTTACAGCATTTTCCTCTCAAACTATTTCAAAAGATTAAAGTGATATTTTATCTTTTTTCTATTTTCAAAACAGCTTCTGATAATAAATGTTGTTGTAATTTCATCCTGAATGTTGGCCCGAGCCTTCGATCGTTCTGTTAAGTGATTTAGAGAAAACATTGTTTTTTTTTTTTCAAGATAATGGTGAAGTATTTACAGCATTTTCCTCTCAAACTATTTCAAAAGATTAAAGTGATATTTTATCTTTTTTCTATTTTCAAAACAGCTTCTGATAATCACTGTGTGGCCCATTCATCTATTAATAGTGAGGAACTGTCTGATAATACACCCCACTTTGTCCTGTCAGTATAGTGATTTTTGTCTGAGTTGACTGAAACACTAYGTTGGGAATGTCCTGCACAAATGAGCTATAACATACTGTAATGAACATTTTTTCAGTCTGTCCAGTCTGGAAGTCCTTATGTCCGATACAAGAACCTTAGGAGCAATGGAATTAATGCTCACAGACGCTATCCGCTAGCCTGGTAAACAGCAGCCCCTTGTTCTACGCTTTGCTTCRTACAGAGGGTCTGGAACCTTGCCTATTGAGAAACGATTGCTTGCTGGAGGTGTGGACTCTGTTGAAGTTTAAAATGACTGGATCTGATTTACCCAWTCGCTAACATTTGCCATGACGTATGCAGTGCACCAGCTCAACCATGAAGGAAGCTAAGCTAAGAAGCTAAYCAGAAATTGCATCCGCTGTAAACAACCAGTACTGAGCAGAACAAGATGGCTGTAAATGAGAGCTGCAGGCTTTGTGAGACAAATTTAATTTAATTTGGAAACCTTGTCAACATGAATTGGCGTCATTCACTTCCTCCACTAAACTACATGCAGACTAAAACCGCGCAGTCAATTGACATGGTTAAAAACTCCTCTTTCTGTTCACTAATTGGCCCAGTTAAAATTCTAGCAGAGAAATCCTTGTCTAAGGGAGAAACCCCAGACGGAGCAAAGAAGGAAGGGAAACTAAAGATGTGACGTTCGCGAACAATTTGAATGTTTTGAACGGCTCTTTACAACGAACAATAGGAGCCAAGTCGTGGGCAGTAACGAGCCATTTATAGTTTTATAGTCTGCTTGACAAAACCTAGTGGATGCTGGTCTTTCAAGAAGGGGAAGCTCAATTTCGGCCTACATCATAAAATGTGTCGGTTTCTTTATACGTAAATTCTACTCTCCGGTCCTTTTCAAGAAAGCACTTCCAGTCAGYCAGCTCACTTTGTCATACCAGGACAGCTGAAAAGACCTGTTACTTTCCCCCACCTTTTGCATCAAATTAATCTGAGGAGTTGATCAGCCCTGACGTTTAACTCTAAGTTTTTCTTTGTAAGGAAGACTATCAAACGGCTTCACCAAAATCCGGTCCACAACATTCAAACTGTCTTGTTACTGGTGCGAGGCTAGTGTGAAGTGTGTCCACCTGTGAGTGCTTTGTGACGGTGGAGGGGCTCAGCAGCACCCGCTGGACAGAAACTGCAATAGAAGTCAGAAAGAGTGATGGAAGTCAGTCTCCAAACACAAGCAGCTACGAAAAAGAAAACATCGGGAATAGAAGCTTGATTTCTCGCTAGTCATTAACAAAGAAAATTTTGCTAAAAGGATTAATAAAGTCTACAGTTCAACTCAGAACAGAATGAAACTAAAAAAATGCTCCCATGGAATGTTTACATCAAAAGATCTCTGATTCACTCATTTCACTGTCAATCAAAAAGGGATTCAGCCTCAGACAGATCATCCAATCATCAGATGCTGAGTGTCCAGGCTGGCCGAGGCCAGCCCCCTGCTCCAAAGACCCCCAGAGATGCTCAGCGTCTGATGGGCGGGACAAAGCCCAGCATTAACCAATGACTCGTCTCGTTTCGCTGCAGTCTTTGCCTCACTATTGAAGTCTGTGGAAGCTGAGCGTCCACTGTTTAAAGCTCTGTGAAGCTGCAGGAATGAGGGAGAGGAAAGCCACGTCATTACCAGTGATAAGAAGCTGATTCTGAACAAAAGTTGAGCRCGTTGTAGCGCATATTTAGTCAATGACATGTACACACAACAATGTATATTTGATCACTTATTTTTGAAATTTGAGCGGAAACTGAGCTTCCCTTGCAGTCTTAGAGCAATCGCCACTGAAACCTAGATTCCACCAACGCAACATGATGACATCATAACGTACGGCGACCCGATGATGTATTTCTCTATGTGATGATGTAACTCGTTCAAAACCGAACGGCTCTTTTGAACGGCTTCCTAAGATCCAGATCCCTTCGAAGAACCATTTATCCCATCTCTAGAATTGAGCGGAACTGTGTARGAAGGCACGGGCCATGCTAGCTATCAGCTTGTTATCTCAGGACTTTAAAGGCTAACAGAACATCTCAGACTCTTCCATTATTTTCTGACCATGTTTTGGTAAAATGCAAGTTTCAGGCATTAGTATGAATGCTACCAAGCAGGTTTTCCTTGCAGGACAATGGGCCTCATGCAAGAACATGTTTGTATATTTATCCTAAATTTCTCTTACTTTTGTTCGTACGGAGGGTTCGTACGAACATGTCACGTCAGATTCAACAAACTCTTTTATCTTCAGGAAAAGTGTGTAAATGAGCTGCGTAAATTACACCTGTTCGTATCCAGCTGCTCGTGCACGCGAGAGGAGATTAGCATAATTACCACCCCAAAAACACCATATAAGGCTATGATTCCTGCCTCAGATACAAGGAACTGTCCAGAGCTAATACACACACACACACACACACACACACACACACACACACACACACACACACACA